ATATGCACAGGTATGTCACGAATAATAGCCAGAAACCAATGAATGCTTTTGTGAGATAACTATTTTGTGGATTAAGTGAGGAATGTATGGATTTGGAGAACATTGATATAAATATATGAAAAAATCTGCGAAAATTTGGTCAAAACGTTGTTTTATTGTTGTTATAATTAATGACAGAATGAATGCAATGAATAACACCAATAATATAGCATTCAATTCAATGCATTGAAAGTATGTGATTAGGGATTGCTTTGCCGACATAACCTGTGATAGTATGACATCCGAGTCGTATATCTCAATGGCTATGGTTTTCGTTAAATTTATCTTTAGTTGCGAAAACATATCTTTAAATTTGATAAAACCGTTAGAATCGATGTCACATAGAAATATGTCAATAATATCTTTTGCGAAGCACTCAAAATACTTATAATAATTATCAGAATTAATTATGGGTCGCAAGGGGTTTAATCTAAATAGTTATATTAAACAAATGAAATTAATAACTCAACAAGAATAAATGATTAAAACATTGCAATCTTTAAATAAATAAATAAATAAAACTTACAAAATATTTTGTTTGATAGCCAGCACATTTACCATGGCTATGAGTGGACCGCATAGATATTCATTACCATAATGTTGTACAATGTAATTGGGAATGGCATCAAAATATAGAAAAGTTATAGTCATATGATTACTACTGTTTTGACCCTGGTCACACTCTGTGATATTGGGTAATAGATAGCAATCATTAATATTCATTATTTTAATTAATTATATAACTAAGTATGTTATATAAAATATGTGGAAAATTAAGTTTAAAAATGTATTATTTAGGTTTTAGATTTATATATCTACTGTAATATAAACTAGTAAATAACTAATTTAAAATTTACATTAATATAAATATTATGTATCAAGGGCGTTCAATAGTACATGTCTAGACAATTAGCATTTTATTGATTAGTCTCATACAGAATATATTGAATTGTCTAGTAATTGTGTTTTTACATGTAAACAAGAACAAATACCGCTGTTTTATGTTGATTATATAAAAATTAATTTAGATAAATAAATATATTGATATAAATTAAAATAAAATATAAAATAATTTTATGTCAAACATATTTTATGTTTGTGAATATCTTAATAATGATATTACAAAACATATTCAATGTTTCCCGTACATTTTATATTACAGTCTACCCTCGCTATAACGAACCCTGGATATAACGAATACCTGGATATAACATACGAGTTCTCAGGAACGGAGAACCAGTAGTAAGTATTGCATTATAAAATTACTGGTTTTAACGAACCTGGTTATAACGAAACCCTGTTGTTATGTATGAATACCCGTATATTAATAATATACTAAATCTATTAAACTACTTGTATATTATATTATAAATGTCTAACCAGTAAAAAAACTAAATAAAAAGAATAGTAATTGCTTTAAAACTACTCTAAACACTACAGAATTGTATAGTTTAGCAGTAGATAACAATTTTTAAAATATACCTTTTTATATGCAATGAAATAAGATTTAATTGGCAAACATACATATAATGCACGAATTTACAGTTTTTATTTTATGGGTTTACAATCTATTTACAGTTAGAATAACAAACTCTAAAATAATTATAATAATTGACATACTTATACAAATACCATAGATATAAAATAACCTCACCATATGTCTCATTGATATGGATTCATATTTAACATGATTTGAATCAATATTGGGATCAAATAGCTTAATGTCTCCCAAATGTTTGAATGCCTTTTCAGACCAATGCCCGTATAGACCAGATTCACGCGTTTGTAGTATACTATGAAAATACAAATTTATATAAAATATATAATAAGTATTAAAATTATAATTAACGTTACATTTTATTTAAACTATTTAACAGATAACCAATGCGTGTATTAACTGCTAAGAAATGTGGTAAATGTCCACCACCATAGCGAGATACGTACATGGTGGACAATAATTGTGGATAGTCGTTTAGAAAACCGGCTAGGACTCTTAGTAAAACTGGTCTGGCTAAAACACCAACGTAATTCTTAGATAACAGAGCATTTTTTGCATAATTTATGGTCTCATTAACCGATTCTTGCATAATTAAATCAATTCTTGACCCAAAATTAAAAGCCATTTCAGTGGTCTCTGTGTCAGCAAAATGAGGAATCCGATTTTCATAAGATGTGAATATTTTAAAATGTGTCCACCGGTAGAGGTCGTCCCACGAGTCTATATACGCGTGAGGTATGGGTTTAATCATGTAGTCCAGTAGATATGAACCAAATAATATGGACAGGTATGTCACGAATAATAGCCAGAAACCAATTAATGCTTTTGTGAGATAATCATTTCGTGAAATAAGTGAGCAATGTATGGATTTTGAAAGCATCATGATAAGTATACAGAAAAAATCTGCGAAAATTTGGTTCAAACGTTGTTTTATTGTTGTAATAATTAATGACAGAATGAATGCAAAGAATAACACCAATAATATAGCATTCAATTCAATGCATTGAAAGTATGTGAATAGCGATTGCTTTGCAGACATAACCCGCGATAGTATGACATCCGAGTCGTATATATCAATGGCAATGGTTTTCGTTAAATTTATGTGCAGTTGCGATGAAAAAATATCCTTAAATCTGATATAACTGGTAGCATCGAGGTCATATAGAAATATATCAATAAAATCTTTAACCAAACACTCAAAATTTTTATCAGAATTAATTATGGGTCGCAATGGGTTTAATCTAAATAGTTATATTAAACAAATAGATTTAATAATTCATCCAGAATATATGATATGATATGAATATATGAATTTGCATTTTTAAATAGATAAATAAATAAAGCTTACAAAATATTTTGTTTAATAGCCAGCACATTTAGCATAGCTATGAGTGGACCGCATAGGTATTCATTACCATAATGTTTAACTCTAAACAAGTGAGTTTATATAAATTAAATTAATAGTAATTTAATTATAATGAAATAAAAATAAAAATTCATTTTTTCAATTTTTAACAACTGTTTACTAAATTAACCCTTTTAAAATTTTAAAATTTATAGAAAACTATAGTAAAATAGATGTGAATCTTTTATAATATGGAATATTTTATGTTTTTATGCTATCATTTGTTATATTAAATAGAGTGACAATAAATGATTGTTATCACTCGGTCTACGTTATGTTCTGTTAATATTATTTTAACCTTACTATTTCATTATTATTAAATATTTGTTAACATTACTATATTATCAACAACCCTATTATTGTATAAAATATGATTTTTAGGTCTAAAATAATCGATAAATGTTCAATTATAACTATTTATTTAGTTTAACTCTTTAGTAAAATTATTTAGTTAAGATTATGAAAAATAGTCATTTATTATATAAAATTGGTATAATCTTATCTAGAAACATGTATTTTTAGTTTAAAAATGTTACGAATTTTTTCCTAGAGTTCCATATATCCAGGCCAGACCTCAAACTGAAGTATGTGTTGAACTCCCGATTCCTGGAGACTTCAGGCAAAAACTGGAGGGTTGGCAACACTAGCAGTACATAACATTATTGCAACTAGTACACTATTTATTGTGTAACCTCTTTTATGTTTAATAAACAATATATAGTAATAAATTATTAACATATGTTATATTCACAGAATATTCTGTATGTTTCATAATTGTATTGATTTCAATAACTTACATCATAACAATATATTACAAAATATTATTACAATATACAACTGTAATATATTACAGTTACTGTAAGCAACATTACTAGCGCATGTATGCATCAAACATTATTATTTACCAAATAAGTGAATGAACAGGCACATGTAGTAACTGTAAAAATAGTGTTTATTTGCTTGTAGGTGAGCATTTTGTACGAGTTGAAAACTAACATGTATTTACTGTATTCATACATTAGTGATATAATAAGGGAACGGTATCTCAAATATTATGGTAACCTTAACTTATAGACCCGTAGGCTGTCACCGATATCAACGAGATATACCCGATATCTTTGATAGACATGACGACGATGTCGTGACCTTTGACGAGGACCTACTAGCCCCCGAGGACTGTCGGCTAACGTTTGTAGACTTTGCACCGGTATTCAAAAGTTATTCGTGGGGTGTACCTAGAATAAAATACCCGTAATTATATTTAAAGTTTTTATTATAAATTATTTAGTAAATATCTAGTTTGTAAAATATTTACCAACTTGTACATTTGAAAAATAATGTATATTGCATATTATTTACGATATATTGCAATAGAGTTATACAATTTAGTATAGATTTATTTGAAATAACTCATTTGTTTATTGTATAATACATGTCGCTATGAGTTACAGTAGCCTTGGTGAAATAAATCAAAACTAATAAAAGTTATATTACATAACTATAGTAATGACGATATTAAAATTAATAATAAACTATTTCATCTAGGTTAATATATTTGTTTTATTTTATAATTAGAGCCATAATAGACTTTGCAAACAATTGGCTATTGAAGCGGGAGGTATGGGATGTCATATCGTGCGAGACTGTAGGCGCCATAATAAGGGTTAAGTTCTCAAAGGGCGGGACAGTTACCTACAAAAAACTACTGACCACTTACTCTATCAACGATGAAGGCATACTGAGTCAATGGGGA